GGATTTTGACCAAATCAATAAATGCAGTCATGTGGAAAGACATGTGGATTGAAAAAAGTTAATAAATGCTGATCAGGAGATTTTGACCAAATCAGTAAATGCTGAGTTTTTTTTAAATAAAAAATAAAAAATTTAGAAAATTCAAATTGAGATATTGAAACTCCCACAGGCGTTGGGGGTTAAAAATCCCCTTTTGCTTAATATATAGCATAGATAGATTATTTAGAGCCATTGAACAAACTATAATCACATTTTTCTTTTTGTGAGTTAACTTCAATCATATTAAAAAATCAAATTATAAACAAAAGGAGATAATTTCAATCATATAAATCACTATTTTTTTAATGCTATCTAACTACAATGACATTTTTCTCATAATAAAAAAAATAATTGAAAAAAATAACCATTAAAATAGTAAATAAAAAAGATTATTTAGAACCATTGAACAAACTACAATCACATTTTTCTTTTTGTGAGTGTTTATGTTTATCTAACTTCAATCATAGTAAAAAATAAAATTATAAACAAAAGGAGATAACTTCAATCATACAAATCACAAATATTTTTATACTATCTAACTACAATCACAATTTTCTCATAATAAAAAATAATAATTGAAAAAAAGACCATTAAAATAGTAAATAAAAAGATTATCAATTACAAATATATTTTTTCTTAAATACATTCTAATCATCATCAATAATTCATCATCAATAATGGGGACTTTTTGTGAACCTAATGAATACAATCCATTTTTTTTTCAAATCACAAATTAAATCACAAATTAAATCAATTGATAGTTAAAAAGCACAATTATCATTTTTTTTTTTCAAAAAACACAGTGAGTTAAAAAAATCAATTACAATTTTTTTTTCAAAATACAATCTAATCATTATCAATAATTGGTACTTTAAAAACAAATCAGAAAAAAATCAAATCAAATCACAAATATTTTTATACTATCTAACTACAACCGTATTTTTTTCATAAATAATTGTAAAGAAAAACCATTAAAACAGTAAATAGAAGATTAAATCACATTAAAAAAAAAAAACTATTGAACAAACTACAATCACATCACACTTTTCCCATAATAAAAATAAATAAATAAATGAAAAAAATCATTAAACTAACTATAATCACATTTTTTTTCTTTGTGAGTGTTTATGTTTATCTAACTTCAATCATATTAAAAATAAAATTAAAATAGTACATAAAAAGATTAAATAACATTAAAAAAAAACCATTGAACTAACTACAACAATCATATTAAAAAAAAGAGGCATTGAATGTGACGCCCTCAAAATGTTAACATCAGACCCATCAATATAGACATGTAATGATAATAAAGATAAACATTCTTTTATTCATCAGAGTAGTTTCTTACAAAAGTATTACATGTTAACAACAAAAGCAAATGCCCTACGGGCTTACAGCTTTCCAAGTTAACACTTGGTTACAACAAAAGAGTACTAACTCCATTTACACATTAAGCCCTTGGCTTGAAATTACATGTAATACATCAAAATAAAGCGATAAAAGTCCGCCTGCCTCTGGCCTCCCAAGCTACGTCCTTGGAGGTGGCATGCTACCTGTACCTGAAAATGATATTCCCATATAGGGTGAGCCACAGCCCAGTAGAGATACACTAAACCAACCATGAACAATGACTAAAAGATTAGTAATTGATAGATGGCCAACACTGATACATCCACATGATCACATTTTTATGTCATACGACTTATGAGTCCAAGTTACTTTTCATTTTCTCTTTTTCAACAGACAAGCATATTAACTCCATCATTATTTCAACAGATATGTATATAAACTATATCCCACATTCACAGACAAGCGTATAAGCTACATCCACATTTCACAAAGATAAGCATATTAGCCCTATCTTCACTTCTCTAGACAAGCATATTAGCTCTATCTACAATTCTCAAAGACAAGCATATGAGCTCTATCTTCATTTCTCTAGACAAGCATATGAGCTATATCTACGGAGTTCATCCCCCATCTCCTCCAATCCTATCCAGTTTAGAGGTACATCCCCCATCTTACCCTAAACCGTGGAGTACATCCCCCATCTCCTCCTCTATACACAATGCATATAAACACAAAGGTTCTATACACAATCAATCAATACATAAAATTAATGTATTCTATCAACCGACATGCTCTATGACACATCCAATTGATTAGTTTTAGTTTGCCTAATCATCAAGCATTGTCTACAACAATCAACACTACCCTCCACCGGTAGCCCAAAGCAATTATTTCTAAGCAGGAAATAAATGCACAATGGATATTCAATCGACATTTCAATTCGGTGAGTGATAAATAATTCAACTACACCCTTTAACCCCATGCACTCCCAATCTCAACAATTCCATTTCATTTCCTCATTTCCCACAATTAATTATCTCAATTAATTAAACAAGTGAGATTGAATAATAACCATAACAAGCCCTGCTGATTAAGCCGGCTGAACTAATCCCTCAGCTTCTCTCTAGCTACTGCAGACAAAAACCTCTCCTGGAAAGCATTCTCTCTCTCTCTCTCTCTCTCTCTCTCTCTCTCTCTCTCTCTCAAAAATCAATCTACCCTAACCTAACTTGATCGTCGGAGCGTCCATCAAGGGATGATCTCCCCATCTGGACCGTTTTGTAAGTACCCTTCGCAGACATCAAGGTCAGTAGACCCGTTGAAAGCATGAATCAGTCCAACCCATCTTCCATTGAAGTTATTACATTATCAAGTGGAAATTTTTTTGATTCAAAGATGCATATCCTCACTCTGTTTTGCAATTGAAAATTAGGGGAAACAGAAAAGTACAAAAAAATAATTCAAAGATTTAAAGAAATCATTGTATTACCTCCATACTGATTGGTATGAGAATACCCAGTTTACCGTAAGTGAGAGAGAGAGAGAGACGGAGAGGCAAAACGGTAAACGACAGAGGTGAGGCGGTAAGGGAGGCTCGGTGGTGACGGAGGATCGCCGGTGAGGAGGGAGGCGCGACGGTGACAGATGAAAGAGAGAGGGAGAGACCAGTGGTGAGCGAGAGAGAGAGGAGCGCCGTGTGAGTGAGAGACAGAGGGTGAGTATGTGTTTGTGTCTCTGTGTCAAACCCTAAACAAATACAAGCACATATATATATATATATCCAGGGACAAAATGGTAATTTCACATCGAGGATTAAGCGGGGTGGGGTCGGGATCGGGGTCCGGGTCTGAAACACCTATCCCCATCCCCGGCCCGGATATCATCGGGGATGAACTTTTGAATACCATCCCCGTCCCCACGGGGGTATTTTTCAGTGAATAACCACTTAATTCGGGGTCAGGGGGTCGGGTCACCGTCGGGTCGGTTTCAGATTGCCATCCCTATCGAGAGTCGGGCGTCGAAGTGAAAGGGAGGAGCTGAGGGAGTCGGCCGTCAGAGTTGAGGAGTTGTCCTCCGAGTGAAGGGGAGGAGCGGAGCTGTCGGGCTCTCTTGTGATAGAGATGAGAGATATAAAGTGGTTAAAGAGGAGGTGCATGGCCCCTGTCTATCACGTGACCAATCACGTGCCTGTCCAGCTCAGCTGGGGGTCGTGGGGGTCGGTTTATGTGGGGGTCGGAAACATTTTTCATATATATATTTTATGTAAAATTAACTTATAAGAAAAATATTTTACGTCAAGAGAAATGAAGGGTTATAAGACTATCTCAAATGGTTCATCAAATTTAAATTTGATAAAAAAAAAATTACTTTTTGCTCTTCCAACGATTCATAAAATCTATCATCAAATCTAAGATTTCATTTTTCTTTCATTAAACTGAGAATCAATGTGCCTTTTATTAAATCACTGTTCCTTGCCGTTAGATTTCCATCACCAGATGACCACCTCAAGATAAAAATTTATAAAAAAATTGCACTAGCCGGTCGACTAACTAGTCGTCCGCTCAATCAACTAGTGATTTGATGAAATTACAAAATCCTCTATCAAAACACGTAATATTAAAAGAAGTTTTTACTCCATTTTTTATTCAAATTTAATAAAAAAAATTGATGCAACACTGAAAATGCCCTAAACAAGTCAAATTTAAACTAGTTTAAAAAATTATTTTAAAGTCAAAGTTGAGCCACCTTGGCTGATTTGTCGGAGTCATATTAGAGATTTCAAATAATTTATTAAATTTTTTATCAAAACTCTTAAATAAGTGTGAATCCCACACACATGCGGGTTTATATGAATCCCACCCATATAAGAGCTTTAATAAAAAATTTAATAAAAATTTCATTTTTCTTTCATTAAACTGAGGATCAATGTGCCTTTTATTAAATTACTGTTCATTGCTGTTAGATTTTCATCACCGGATGTCCTCCCGGATGACTATCTCAAGGTAAAAATTTGTAAAAAAATTGCACTGGCCAGTTGATCTACCGGTCGTCTACTTGGTCAACTAGTGATTCGATGAAATTACAAAATTCTCTATCAAAACACTTAATATTAAAAGAAGTTTTTACTTAATTGTTTTACTCAAATTTAATAAAAAAATTGATACGACAGTGTAATACCCTAAGTAAGTCAAATTTAAGCGAGTTTAAAAAACTATTTTAAAGCCAAAGTTGAGCCACCTTGGCTGACTTGTCAGAGTTATTTTAGAGATGACAAATAATTTATCAAAACTCTCGTATAAATGTGGTGTGAGACCCACACTTGTGAATTTAGATAAATCTCCCATCATGTGATACTATTAATAAAAAATTTAATAGATTATCTGAGATTTATGTTTCCGATCTGCAGCCCTAGTTATTCGCACATTCATTCCTACAGTGGGCAGACAATCGAACGGTCCAGAGTCCGACAGATAGACGCACACATCTTCGATTTTCTCTTCCTTTAGGACAAGCCCAACTTCGAAAGACAGCTCAGTCCCAAGCACAGAAAGGTTTTCATTTTCTCTTCCCCACTCTTCGATCTTCATGTGTTGTACCCTGTATTGATTCGTTGTTGATTGATTCATTGTTGTTTGATGCTGAATCTTGCATTCTCAATCACTCTGTGTTTTCATTCTCATTCCATACACAAAAACATTGAAATTTTTTGAAGGGTCAATATGGGTTTTCCTGAATTTGATTCTCACTGATTTGATCAACAAACTTTTGGGTTTCTGGGTTTTGTACTCTCTCTCTCTCACTGTGCATTTGCTTTGAGACTGATCTTGGAAGGGAGAGGGAGAGAGAGAGAGAGTAGCAGAGGGCATGATTGTCTTTTCACTGTAATGCATTATTCAGAGTGCGATTTCGAGTCTCAAATAATTTTATTTACATTTTATGAATTTTATTTTTTATTTTTCTTTGTCTTTTTAAATTTTCAGGTAGACTGATTTTCTCCCAAGTTTGAGTCCAAGCCCTAATTTTATTTTTCCTCTCTAAGCCTGGTCAACAAAGAAACAGTTTCTCAGGTAAACTCTTTCTCTATGAATTATCAATCGATTGTTGCATTGAAGTTATTTTGATTGTTTGGAGCTAACAAGCACGGACACCAACATGATAATTTAGAGAGAAAAAAAAATAAAAAATACCGGTCATGACATATGTAGGTATATGCAAAATATATCTTTATTATAAACTATATATATAAGAATAAAAATAAGCAACATAATTTGAATTTTTAACGTTTAAGGAGAATGGATAAATTTGTATTACTTTGTTTATCATTGGATTGTAAATTATTTTGTTCATGCTTCGTAATATGTTTCATGTGTGTAAAAGCGATTCATACTTGTAATGTAATGAATTTATGTACAAGTGATGATGGACACGTGTGTCATAAAATTTCCAAATGTGTTTTGATTTAAAAAAATTTAATGATAATAATAGGACACGTTTTGACATGTGCCCGACATGTGTTGAGAAGTATTTAATGAGTACCTTCTTAGAAGCATCCATGCTTCTTAGGTTTGGATCATGTGTGCATAAGCAATTTACACTTGTAATGTGTTTTATGCATGTATAAGCGATGGACACATGTATCCTCCAAAAGTGTCCAAACATGTTCGATTAAAATAAAAAAAATAGTTGCACACATTTGGACTTGTGTCCAACAACAAGTGTCGAGAAGTGTCCAACAACAAGTGTCGAGAAGTGTCCAACTGACACGGATACATCATCTTCTTAGAAGCATCCATGCTTCTTAGGTTTGGATCATGTGTGCATAAGCAATTTACACTTGTAATGTGTTTTATGCATGTATAAGCGATGGACACATGTATCCTCCAAAAGTGTCCAAACATGTTCGATTAAAATAAAAAAAATAGTTGCACACATTTGGACTTGTGTCCAACAACAAGTGTCGAGAAGTGTCCAACAACAAGTGTCGAGAAGTGTCCAACTGACACGGATACATCATCTTCTTAGAAGCATCCATGCTTCTTAGGTTTGGATCATGTGTGCATAAGCAATTTACACTTGTAATGTGTTTTATGCATGTATAAGCGATGGACACATGTATCCTCCAAAAGTGTCCAAACATGTTCGATTAAAATAAAAAAAATAGTTGCACACATTTGGACTTGTGTCCAACAACAAGTGTCGAGAAGTGTCCAACAACAAGTGTCGAGAAGTGTCCAACTGACACGGATACATCATCTTCTTAGAAGCATCCATGCTTCTTAGGTTTCATTAATTGGTAATAATGATAATTTGCATGGAAGTAACTTTGGTATTGTTTATTGTCTCTCTTTATTCATATTCTAAATTTAGCTGATAATAATCATAATATCAATAATGTCAACAACAGGTTTCCATTTTTGCGATTGATGGAAATCGTTTGTAAATTTGTAATGATTAATATTTACATATAATGCATTCGCCTTTTGTTTACATTCTTGCACTTTTAACTGATAAGGCTGATAGTTTAATAGCCTAATGCCAGCTTACTCTGTCATACTAATTGAAAATAATCGCCTAATGCAGACTTTGCCTTTCATATATATATATACATGGAAGCTATTTATGCATGACAAAGATAATACGTTGGGTTCACTTTATTTTTACTCCATACCTTCTGTTCATTTTCAAATAAAATCAGCTAATCTCTGAATATGAGTTATCCAATTTTTTTCAGTGCCTCGAAATTTACCAGGCTTTGACTAGTCTTTTAATAAAAACATTTGAACTTGAGGACTCTCTGTGGTGTAGCCTATGTCGTTTGGAGGAGGAAATTTTGTTCTTTTATTTGGTTTTTACAATTATTTGCTGATCTGGGTTCGCATTTTCTGAAACAAAACTATTGAGTTTTTATCTGGTTACTTCGTTGCACTTGAAGGAATTGAGCATCATTGCATACGTATCAATAACTCTATATTTGCAAAATAACCTCTAAAAAATTAGAAAAAAGAAGAGCAGTATTCTTCATAAATTGTAATATTTGTTGGTAATTATACTTTGGTTACAGCTAATGATATCCAAATGACCATGGATACAGTTCAGCGGCCCTAATTACTTGTCAGCACAGGAAAGGAATCTATGGAGATTGACAATCCTATTGAAAGTAACGGAAGCACCGCTGGAGTAAAGGAAAATGGGCTTCGTCTTTATCCGGTGTCTGCAACTGATTCAGGTGAAGGTTTGCCATATGCTCCTGAAGATTGGCCAAATCCTGGTGATGTGTGGAGTTGGAAGGTGGGGAAGAGGGTCGCACATTCTGGCTGCTTTTTGGATAGATACTTGTATCTTCCCAAGCGTCTTCAAGAGCCCATGCGTAAGAGAGGTGGTTTTGCGAGTAAGCTTTCAGTTGAACATTTCGTCCGGGCATCATTCCCTGGTGCTGATGTTGATGCATTTTTTGCCTCATTCAGTTGGAAGATTCCTGCAAAAAAGTTACATGTGAACAAAGGTCAGGCTATTATGATTTTAATCTTTTATGCTCTAGTTGGTTCACTGGAAGGAAATGGAATGGAATGATCATTCCATGATAATATCCCTTCTCATGTTAGGTTCATTAAAAAAATGATAAAATTTGTATTACAAATGGAATCATTATTCACTATTGAAAGAGAATAGTCACTCCATAGGGAGGTTAAGGAATGACCATTACATTCAATTCTATTTCATTCCAGTGAACCAAACATTATATAAAGAATAACATCCTTCTGTTTTAATATGTTGCATACCTTACTTACGTGGTCTTGTGATCAGATATTTGTTCTTCTTTGTACCTTCCCATTATGAGGGACAGCTTTACCTCCTTCAATGGTTTGATGTTCAAAATGGTTTAGCCCTTGGTAGTATGAGTGGTATAATCCAAGGACTCAGCTATAATGGTTTAGGCCTTTGATGTTATGGGGCCCAACATGATTGCCACGAGCAACATTTATTGCTTGTAATTATGGAATTGAGTTTGCAAGATCACTTTCTTGATATGAATCATTTCGCAATGATAGTTTGTGGGAGTGGATGACAATGAGTTGACCATTAAAGCTTTGGTTAAAGAATTTTTTTTTTCCCTTCCCTTTTTATTCTTTTGTATTTGTCAATTTGGAGGATGATTTACTTCAAAATTTCTATATTTGCAATTAAGCAAATATAGGGCAGCTTGCTCTGACCAAGAATCCACTTTTTTGCTCCAGCCATGGAGTTATGAGTTTTTGCTAAATTAGGCAATGGTAGAAAATTCTTGCTGATGTACTTCTTGTGTTGCAAATTGTATACAACCAGACCGGCATTATTTTTCTTTTATGCTTGTTTTTAAAGTATTTTTTTTATAATCCTACATCCATTATGGGTTTCCAATTTTTATGTACTGTGAAACGGAACACTCAGTGGAAGGATGGTATTGTTTATTACAATTAGGCGTAGTTTTTGGTTCCTTTTAAGTTGTTAATTTTCAAGTAGGTATAGTTTTAGAGAAAAAAAAAAAGCCTCGTTGTGAAACAAAGATTATGTGACTAGAAAATTTTCTTGAATATTACATTCTTTCTTACTACTATTCTTTTTCTTGGCTTCTTCGATATATTATTAAGCAATTGCATACATTCAGTTCTGTAAAGAGAATTTGTTTCTTACTATTTTATTTCATCAAATCATCTTTGGCTTGTTAACAGGGCTTAAAAAAAATTAAAGGTTGTAAAGTTATGTTAAATGGACTCCTCTAAATTTATGAAGGGAAAATTACATATACCTCCCTCGAGGTTTGGCTAAATTACAGATACCTCCCTGAGGCTTCGAAAATTACATTCCGCCCCCTGAGGTTTGTATTTTCATAACAATTTGCCCCTTGAGGTTTATATTTCATAACAAATTACCCCCTAATTTGTTATACAAATATAGCATTCAGGGGGAAATTTGTAATTTCTCAAACCTCAGGGAGGTATTTGTAATTTAGCCAAACCTCAAGGGGGATATATGTAATTTGCCCATTTATGAAATAACCTTGTTGGGCACTCAACATTTTGCTAAGGATATGGATTATATCATATATGTTAGATATGCCTAATCTGACATGTCGATTTTACTATATAACTTGATGATACAGTTACGATGGTTCCAGAGGGAATGGGTTGGACTGGTTCACGCTTCTCCAACCGATACCTGAATGGCCAAGCCCACTTGAGAACCTGCACAAGAGTTCAACGGGGAACGGGGTGTCCCCCAGCGAACCCTCCGACGAGCAAGTTAAAGAGAGGGAGAAGTGGAATGTAGAGATATGAATTAGAGATAGAAAGTTTAACCTTCTTTTTGTCTTCAACGTTTGCTTATATCCTTTGGTAATCATTTTGTTGTCCCGTCCTATCTGTCACCTTGGCCCCAAGTCTATACTGTAGCTTACCTTGTTCAGGGTGAGGGCATGCCGTCCCAACAGAGAGGTGTTGTCGTAATAAATGTTGTGAGAGGCTGCATTAATGGCGATGTGCAGTAGCAATAACTTTGCAGATCTTTGTCTGCTGATGTGGCTTGCCCTTTACATGCCACGTGTCTGAGTATCATTGGTCCTTCATGTCATGTTGATTTCCGGCTGTGCTGGGCCTTATCAGTTGGGTTATGTCTTGGGCCCTAAGTGGTAGGCTTGGGTTGTTCATAGTGGGTTATGGCCTTTCTAGGCCTAATCACATCAGTAGTCCCCCATTCCCGAGTGCAGCTTTAGTCCAACGAAGGGAATAATGAGGAAGATGTGGGTTAAAGGTCGAGTGAAAGGAACGACCGACCAGAAGTGGTCGAGTGGAAGGACCGACCGTGAGGAGGGCCGACCGCGAAGGGTAGCCGAGTGGAGGGACCGACCATGAGGAGGGCCGACCGCGAAGGGTGGCCGGGCGAAGGGACCGACCATGAGGAGGGCCGACCACGAAGGGTGGCCGAATGGAGGGGCCGACCGCGAAGGGTAAGGTGGGGGGGCGCAGGGCTCGAGAGGCGTCGTGTCACGTAGTGATTTGAAGTGGAAAAGACAGGGTAAGGGAAGGGGGCAGTGCATCGTAGTCGTACACGTGGCAGCATCTCGTGGTGAGGGAGGTTAGGCGTTGAGCCAGAAGTGAAACGATAGGTCATTGTGGGTGTTGAAAAGACAGTTTTGGCAAAGTTTTTTGAAAAGTTTTCAAACTGGCGAAAATTAATTGTGACCCTTGGAATACGGGCAAGCCTTGGGTCTTTGGTATTATTCGATTTACTTATCTCTTTGCAAAAAATCAAAACATTCCAAGTGTTAACTCTTTTGTTGCTGACGATACACCTCTGCGACATTTTTTGAATTTCCTTGCGCCCACATCCGAAGCTATTTGTAGACACACCACAGAAATGGTCCAAGAAGAAGCTGGAATCGCCAGGTTTGATCCACTTGGGGATGACGATGCGGTGGAATTGGCGGAGTAGTACAGGGCGGAGAGGCAAATAGAGAGGTTAGGGGAGCCGGTGGTACGATCTCATTCTTCCACCATGATGGCGGCCCCAACGCCGATAAGCCAGGTGGAGCCAGATCATTGGCATACAAAGGCTGATAAGTCGATCATTACCGTGAAAGAGCTAGAGGGGATGCGGGAGAAGTACCAGATCCCCGCAGAGATAGAGTTGAAACTGCCGGAATCAAAGGAGAGGGCGTCTGATGCTCAACCGGAGGAGTTCGCCCTGTACGAGGAGGCGCTAAAGGGAGGGTTAAGGTTGCCCCTCCCCCGGATAGTGGTGGATGTACTAAACCGGTTGAAGTTAGCCCCAGGCCAACTAATGCCCAACGCGTGGAAGATCTTGCTGGCTTGTGCAAGTGCGTGGCTGAAGGCGAATGGGGGGGCTGAAATGACAGTGGACGAGTTTTTTGCGTGCTACAAGGTGTCAGGGCAGCAGGAAACTTGGGTTACCCTGTAGGCAGCAGCAGGGAAGGGGTTGGTGGCGGGGCTGCCGTCATCGATCAAGGGGTGGAGGCCGCGGTGGTTCTATGTGTTCGCCAATGGAGGGGTTGCGGTGCGTACAGTTTGGAAAGTGCCCACCAAATCGATGGAGCCAAGACTGGGGGCAGCAGCGGAGGAGAGGGTGAAGATAGTGAAGGAATGGCGGGAGAAGGAAGGGGCCAAGTGGGACGAGCTTGTTCAGCCGTCAGCTTCGTTTGCGGCAGGGTTGGGTCCTCAACCGAACAGTGGAGACCTCGACCGGGCGAAATTAGAGGCGAGAATGAAGGCACAAGAGGCGGAGGATAGGACTATCCTCGCCCAAGCTAGTAAGTTCAAGGAGGCGCAGGAAGATTGACCGCATAAGCCGATCGCACGGGAGAGGATCTGACCGCGCTCCAAATCGCTGGTGGAAAAAGACTTGAGTGAATCTGAGCCACGACCGCCCCCGATTGATCCTTTAAAACAGAGGGCTAACCAGGACATGGGCAGTGTGGGGAAGAAGAAAAGAAAGGTGAGAAGGAGTGAGGAGGAACCTGCCTTGAAGAAGAGGAGGGAGCTGACGGCAGAGGAGACCCCCATAGCCAAAGAGGCAGAGGAAGAGGGAGTAGGGCAGACCCCAGGAAGGGTGGTTGCCCCAGAAATGGTGGAGGTCGCCTCGAAGGTCATGACAGTCGTCCCAGTAGTGGTGGGGATCGCCTCGAAGGTCGCAAAGGTCGTTCCTGAAATTCAAGTAGAAGGTGGGACAACTAGCCCTGAGACAAGGGGAGAGGAACAGCCCCAGGGGGGTCTTGCGCCCCAAGGAGGGGGGGTGAGGCCAAAGTATGCCATCTACCATGCTCCAGCAGTTTCTGGGCGATTGGAGGGAGAAGGAGGTCCAGCCAGGACGGCTGCAGATCTTCTTTTGGGGGGGTGGACGAAGGAGCCGTGCGCTCTGCAGCCAGGTTCAATGAGGCTGAACTGCTAAGGGGGTTGTGCTCTGCTCAAATGGAGGCAACCACCCTAGCAGGGGCTTTGCTGAGAAAGGCAGCGGCTGCGAAGACCAAGTGGGAGGAGGCCATGGCCCAGCTCGCGAGTTTTAAGAAGGAGAGTGCAAGCTGGAAGAGGGCTGCGCGAAGCGCGTGTGCCAGGGGTTGGCAGGAGGCTGGGAAGGCAAAAAAGATGGAAGTATTGGCGATCATGCAGGGCAATGTTGCCGATCGTGCCCATGCTGAGCTGCTGGCGGTCGGGTTAGAGCTGGAGGACGAACGCCGCAAGGTAGTGTCGCTCGAGTTCCAACTGGCTGGCGAGCAGAAGAAGCTAGGGAAAGCTCAAAATGCCTGCACGGTCGCCACCAAGCGGTTCGAAGAGGCAATGATCAATAATGAAGAACCGCGCGCCCAGCAGATCAAAGAGAAGGATGAAACGGACGTGAAGATTGCTGGGCTGCGAAAGGAGCTGGAAGACGAGCGTGCCAGGGCAATAGAGGAGAAGGCAAGGTTGCAAAAGGAGCTGGAGGATGAAAAGACCAAGGCCGCCTCTAAAAGGGCGGCATACCCTGACCTATGCGTCGCAGCAGTTGAGCAGTTTAAGGGGTCTGTTGAATTTCAGATGGCGATCGATGCCGCGGTCGCCAGCAGCTTGGCAAGGGAAGTGTTTGGGGGGGCGAGCTCGTCGAGAACGACCGTTGGGGGCAGGACGGAGGCAGAAGTTATTGAGAGCTTCTAGCAGTCAGACTTCTATAAGTACGAAATGGCTGAGTTCTGGGACAGTGGCTGGAAGATGTTCAAGTGTAAAGCTGAAGAGCTGTTCCTAGACTTAGACCTCAGTAGGGTAAAAATTGACGAAGACGATGTGGCCCAGACCCCCCTGGATGAGGATATTGAAGAAGAAGACCTCGTTTCCAGTGAGGAGGAATAATTTGAAGTGAACACAATTTGTACTTGGAGTTGTTTTTGTGTGTTTGTTTTTGTTTTTGTTTTTTTTTTGAAATGCTGTAATGAACTTATGTACAAGTTTGTGAATAAATAAAATTTGAGTTGTGTTTTCAGTCCATTATTTTTGCTTGTGCATCTGAAATGTATAAATTATTGTGAAGTGTAAAATGTAAGGAAAACTCAATGTAAAGTGAATTTTAACTTGTAAGAAAAAATTCAACGCAGAGTGAAAGTGAGAAAAACTCGATGCAGAGTGAATTTTAACTTGTAAGGAAAATTCAACGCAGAGTGAGTGAGAAAAACTCAATGCAGAGTGAATTTTAACTTGTAAGGAAAATTCAACGCAGAGTGAGTGTGAGAAAAACTCAATGCAGAGTGAATTTTAACTTGTAAGGAAAATTCAATGCAGAGTGAAAGTGAGAAAACTCAATGCAGAGTGAATTTTAACT